TATGCATTTCTGTTCCAATTCCAACAACTCCTCATCAGTCAATTCCTCAGGAACCACTTCTAGGAGCTCCTCAAGGTCATCCTCATCCACATCCAGGTTAAAGCTGTTTGCCATCTCCACCACAGCCTTGATTTTTTCAACCTCCTCATCCTTGGGAAATCTTTTGAAGTCATGGACTAACTTCTGGAGTGTCTTCTTCTAGATACCATTCAAAAACTCCTTGCTCACATCACCCCAAGCCCAAGCAAGGTTCTTAATGCAGTCATAGATGTTGTCATCCTTCCAGAATTGCATCAGTGTCTTCTCAGTGTCTTCCTCAGTTGCAGCAATAGCCTGGGCAAAAGTCAGTGCTCAGGGAGTAGGCTTTAAAAGCTCCTATGACTCCTTGATCATTGGTTGGATCAAAGAGGTGGTGTTTGGAGGGAGAAACTCTGCTTTGATATTGGGATGAAGATCACCAATAAAAGGAAGATGCCTAGGAGCACCATCAACAATAAGCAAAATCTTGAAAGGTATATTATTCTCCAAACAATATTTCTCCATTTTGCTGGAGTAGCAATTCAGAAGGGCACCTTGGAAGAGGGGCTGGGTCCTCCATGACTTCTTATTCCTCCTGTAGCACACTGGCAGTGTGTGCTTTTGCTATGCTTGAAGGTCCTAGGATTCTCACTGTCCCAGATCACAAAGGGTTTCAATTTGTAGCCTGCAACTTGGCCTTCAAGCAAGACTATTATTCTGTCTTTAAAAGTCCAAAACCTGGCATTGACTTGGCCTTCTTACGGATGAAAGTACTTTCAGACATCTGTTTCCAGAATAGGGAGGTTTCATCCACATTGACTACGTGCTCTGGCACGTAATTTTCCGTGACCATCAGCTTACCTAGAATTTCCAAATATTCTTCAGTTGCCTTCACATCAGCATTCACAGACTCACCACTCACTTTCACATTGTGTAATGAATAACAATTCTTGAATCGTTTAAACTACCCAGGGCTGGCAGTAAATTCAACATCGTAATAAGATCCAGCCTTTTCTTTCAACATCGCAAATAAACTTTTTGCTTTGTTTTGATCTTCACGGTGCTGAGAGGGATACGCTTCTGTGCCTGGTCTTCAATCCAGGTCATTAGGTGTTTCTCCATGTCTAATGAAGGCCCTTCTCAGATTTTTGTTTGTCTCATTGCCTTCAATGAAGTAGATCCTTTAACAGCTTCCATCACTTTATTCTTTTTCTTCAAGATTATACCTATGATGGACTGGGATATGTCTGACTGACAAGCAATAATCATCACTGATTTTCCACCTTTGTAGTCCTTAACCACTTTTAATTTTATTTCCAGGTCAGTGAACCTATGTGGTCTCTTATTGGCAACATTAGCAGTGAATTTTGTGTGCTTAGGTGTCATGATGAACAAAAAACATGAGATTAAATCAAGCACAGGAGAAAGGGATAAAATCAAGAGATGTGGTAAACACAAGATTTATGAAGCTGCTACCAGCTTAACACAGCATACTGTTTTAAAGTAAAGGTTTTCTGGAAGTAGGAAGAGCGCTCTCTAAAGTAATGATAAAAAGTGCAGTATAGTAAATACATAAATCAGTAACATAGTCGTTTATTATTATTATCAAGGATTATGTACTATACATAACTGTATGTGCTATACTTTCATACAATTGGCAGCACAGTAGGTTTGTTTATGCCAGCATCACCACAAACACATAAGTAATGCATTGCACTGTGACATTATGATGCTACGACATCACTAGGTGACAGGAATTTTCAGCTCCATTATAATCTTTTTTTTTTAGGATTGACCCTGAGCTAACATTTGTTGCCAATCTTCTTTTTTTATTTTCTCCCCAAAGCCCCAGTACATAGTTGTATATACTAGTTGTGATATGTTCTAGTTCTTCTATGTGAGATGCCACCACAGCATGGCTTGATGAGCAGTGTGTAGGTTGATGCTCAAGATCAGAACTGGTGAACCCTGGGCTGCCTAAGAGGAACATGTGAACTTAAGCACTTGGCCATATGGCTGGCCCCTCCATTATAATCTATGAGACCACCATCGGATATGAGATACATCACTGACCAAAAGATAACTATGTAGCACATGACCATACGTAGTTGCATACTGGCCTGACATGTGGAAAGTTGGGAAAGGCTCACACAACCAGGGCAAGTATACCAAGGTTCTCCAGTTGCCCTGGGACAACAGAGGCAGTGGTGAGGTAAAGAGTGAGGAGCACAAGGCTGCAGGAGATTTTTCCATTTTAATTGTAAAAAAAACCTGAGAATAAATTTAGAACGCTTAACTGGAGGTAAATGTAAGAGGAAACACCTTGCAATTTGTTTTTTTAAACCTGAAAAAAAAAGTGGAGAAAAAAACACTGTGTGAAGGAGAATAGCAGGGGAGAAGCCTACACTCTTCCCATTCTTTTTGTACCAGTGGAAACTGGGAAGCTGGGCTTGTGCGTTCTGTGTAATTTTCCATGCCTCGGATCTGGACACTTGTTCTCATCTATTACCAACTTTCCCAGATGATTGCAACTCAATCCATTTTAGCAACTCACATGCTTAAGAGGATGTAGAAAGTAAGCTAATTACCTGATGTCTTTTGCATTAATAGATAAACATAGCTTCAACCCATTCATGACTGACTTTGATTGTGGAAGCGGTTTTCACCAACTTGGTTGTTTTACTCCTCAAGTGAGCCAAGTTATCTGGATTCAGGGGACAGATTAGGACAATTCATGAACTCTTGGATAAAGGTTAATGCTTCCAAAGGAAAGGAATGTACAAATATGGAACAAAGTTGTTTTTTTTTTGTTTAACCTAACTTTGCATCCAATAATTCACCTGAATACACATAGCCACATAAGCAATATATATTTTCTAGCTATTCAACAGAGATAACAAGACCTGAAAGACCATGGCAGTTTAAATATTAAGTGCCTGGTGACATTTCAATGACAAATTGATTCATTATATGTTGTCAAAGAAGTTTCACGTAATGAGCAATTTATGTTCACATTGCTGGAAGTTATTTCAAAGCATTTATATTGCACTATAAATCTCCAGTCTTCTTTGTGTTCAATGTGGATACTGGTTAAAAAAATAACTGGGGGTTGAGGGGAGTAGATAATCAAGAGGTAGTAGTGTGAAAAGTCTTATATGCCCTTCAGAAAATACGTAATAACCGTGTCCTGCCTTGAAACAGCATAGTTCATTAGGTTTCTGAATACTCTATTCAGTCATTTCAAAGCCTGTCCGCAGTTAAAGAGTAACAACATAATTATTTCCCTTTCCCCAAGGGAATTACCAAATTGCAATATCCTGTTATGGGGACCCAGGCCTCTGGCACGCATACTGAATAGTACAACCTCATTCACTCAGAATAATTGTGGTATGTGCGGCTCCATTGTTCTGAACGGGGTCTCTGGTGTGCTTTCATAAGTACTTCAACTTATAGACTATTTTGAAAAAAATTTGGCTTGATTTTTTCAGTACATTTTATAATGCACCAAGATATCAGTGAGTTCTGATTCTCATAGTTCAGACCATGGTTTAAGCAATATTGTCTCAGAAGAACCAGACACAAATTGATTTTTTTTTTCTCCAGGAAATAACGGCAAAAGGCAAAAAGAGAAGCTGTCGAATTTGAAGGTCAGATTTTGTTTTGAGGATCTCAAACCTCTCCATTGTTATCCCCTCTCGGCACGACCATCCCCTTTTCCTTCTGATGCCCACTGGGACCTCATTTTCTAATCACACTACTCGACAAAGAAAGAGGAATAAGCCTGAAAATAAGTAAATTAAGACAAGCACTCATTCACATCACCTCTTAACTTCTACAAGTGACCAATTTAATAAACAGATGGCCCCCAGGAAAGTAATTGTAGGCAATAAAAAGCAGAATGCAAAGGAACTGAGATGAAAGAAGTCAAAGATTGCACGAAAGTTGTATCTGGGCCAATGCCTTCCTCTTCCCTATCTGCCCCTGCTATCTCTTCTGCCCCAAGGACTTCCAAAATCTGCTCTCATTTTGAAACATTCTCATCCCTGATCTACGTGACCTTGAATAATCATACTTTCTGATTTACAGAATATTGCAGTATTCCACAGGAGAAGTCGTTAGGAGCTGGACCAAGTGGTAGCAGTGGGAATAAAGAAATGGCCAACACAGGGCACCTGCCTCTACCAGTATGGTCCCACTCATTGGAAAAATGTTGCCCTTACCCAACCAGTGCATGCCACACACTCAGAATAGCAGCTTCTCCCTAAGGGCAAGGAGAGATAACACAGAGGCATAGAAATGTTACTTTCAAAACCTCCCTCAGTGAGGACAGCTCAAGGCAATGTGAGCAGAGACCGAAACCCATCAAAAGAGACATTCTCTAAAACTACTGATCAGGAATGCCTGGTCTGCACATTCCTGAATTGGAAGATATCCTGAAAACTCTTATTCTCTCGAGTAGGTCAATAGCAATGGTCTTGGCTACTTGCTCATGACAATTCTTCTTTCACATAGAAGAAGAGAAGCATTGCAAATTGCCCTCCGTTGCACTAATATTTCTGTCAGAGAAGAGAAGACGCCTACCTCTCAGAACCCCAAACAAGAAAGAAAATTTGTAACTGGTTGGAAAAGAAAGAATCTTTCCAACAAAAAAAGCAACCTCACAGGCAGAGAGCCAAGGAACCAGTGGGGGTGATGTTTGATAATTATTCTTAATTTTATCTCGAGTAAAATATAAAAGAGACAAGGGTGAAAACTATTTTTGTTTGAGATCTTTTTCTCGGAGTTCTTAATATTTTGTTGCCTTTTTAAAAAAGCAAATAAATTTCCTTTGAGTTCAATAAAGAGAAGAGAGTCTCTCCTGAGCTTTTGCCAAATATTCCACTAAAAAGTAGATTTAGAATACATCACAAGTATTCTTTTGGTCTACTACGACCAAGCAAAGAATTAAAAGAAAATACAAGATACATTAGCATCTTTTAGCATTTTGCAATCAAAGTCATGTAGGTACTTTATTTAGGCATTTCTTGTGTGTGTTTCCATGATTTGGCTGTAATAAATTCCTCTCCAAGTTTTTTATTATATTAATAGCACAATAAAAGGAAGAAAACAAGTTGGTTGACTATGTGCGTCCAACCTCGTTGATCACTGATCACTGACATGCTTTTAGTTAACTTTAACTTCAGAGATTTAATTCTTTGCTGTTGTTGCATGTGCTGTGTTTCATAATTTTTCTCATTGATTTATATTCGGTTTTATTTTATGCCATTATTCAACAGTGGGCTTGTGCAGACCCTGGAAAGCAACCAAAAACAAGTTGCAATAAGTAACTTAATGCTTTATAGTTTATTAATTTTTATATTAAAATAGAACGTTTGATATTTGGTCATCTCAGATGCAAGTATCTATGTTTATTACCCATATATGTAATATATATGACAAATAAAAATGGCAAGCAATAGGCTATATCGGAGAATATGAGGAAGCCATTTTGTGTAAACCTAATTAGGCCTGACTTTGTCTTTCCAAAAGCGCCTGACTGTGGCCGTTGAGCATGCATTGTATATCTGCTTTAGACATTCACTATGGCAAGAGCAAAGGCCCTTGAGATAAAGGTGCAACTTCCCTCCCCCTCCCAACGTTGGCATTTCTTTAAGGATTAAGCATCTTTCCTTAGGCTAGAAACTGATTGCTGCGCTCACCTGTGACCACCCAGCTCGAGACAACAGACTTGCCTCCTGCTACGCCCTCTGAGATAGCAGACCCACTACCTGCTGTGTCCATCAAGCGCTATGCTGACAGGGCAACCTTGCGACTATTGTGGGAGGGACATTTCAATCATATGTGAAACGTCCTGTATGGGGGTATATAACCACTCTGTATACCTCACTTCCTTGGTACCCTTTCTTCCTTCGGGAAGAAAGCCCCCAGGCCATGGTCCTCAGATTTCAGCTCAGAATAAACTCACCCAAATTTTCATTTATAGATTGGTTATGGATTATTTTCGTCAACATATATAATATACATAGTTATGTCTTTATATACTATAATATTTAAATTTTTGATTTTTGTAAGGTTTAATAAAATCACCTTACATCTTATAAAAATAATATATTTTAAAATACTAATCAAATAAAATTAATTTGATAATCTTCAAGGTCTGGAGTGTTCAGGCAACCACTCCAAAGTATCAAATATCTTTCAAATCTCTAAAAAACGAAGTTAATGCAATAGGACTCAGAAGTTTATTCTTTGCTGACAGTTTCTAATCCTATCTTGAAACAGATAGTGTCTGCTTTAAGCCAGAGTTAAGGAGGAAAGAGGTTTGTAAGGTAGAGGAAGGTAAGATACGACATCTTGTCGAAATTTCACCACAGTAAAGCTATGCATCCAGATATCTCCCATCGAAATACCATCAGTCAAAAAAGTACAAGTTAAAAGTCATTGATTAGGTAAAATTTTGTCTGGCAGGAACAAGTAAAACATGAGAGATATTGTTTTAAAAAATATATTTGAATTGAACACAATGAGTGTGATGACATTTTCATACTGGTCAGCTTAGAGGGAATGGTGTGAACCCAGGAATTAGATGGCTGCAATCCAACGACAAACTTGGAGGGAGCTAGAGGATGTGAAAGAGGATCAGGGGAATGCGATGGTGGCAGCTTAAATCGTAGCCCAAATCTCCTTAGCCTAAAAGACATTTCCATCATTATCTAATCAGTTATGGAAACAGAAACAAAGGATAAGAACTCTGGTTCTCTGATTGTGATTGCCCTTCATAATAAACAATCTGCTCAAAACGTCCTGTAATTTTTAAGTGGGAAACATGTTTCACCCCAAATTATCTACAAGGTCAGACTTGTGAGATCTTTGTACAGAGTGTATCTGCATTTGTTTTATCAGTGGAGTTAGCAAGGAGACTGATCTTAAATCGGAGGTCCTGGAATATCGAAATCTCTAAATGAAAAAATGATTAAAAGATTTGTTCTTTATAAGAGAGGTAGAGCCCTGGTTTGAGGCAAGATTACCTGTGAAGCGTGTCTCCAGCCATCCAAGCCTCTCCTTGCTCTTCCTCATCTGTGGTGCCTTCTCTGATCTGGCTTCCTCACCACTCCCATAGATCGTTGTTTATCATCTAGTGGTGAAACACTCCTCTTAGGAAATTATCTGATTCCTACAGACACACTAAAGAGTATTTGAAGGATTAGGTGTTATAAATGACCATTCCTAGAAGTCTCTGCATCAAGAAATGGAAACTTTAATATAAAGAAAAGAAATACCAAGGGTGACGTTTCAAGCATTGTTTAGGTGAAAGGGTTTGGGGACCAGTAGAGCAGTGACCGAGTGGAAGAAATACTAAGTGGTGGCTCCTGATTGCATTGCACAGAGATGACTACTAACACAGTACACATCGCCGCTATTCTTTATGTTGCATTCTTCTTAGTTATCAAAACTAGCTGCATGATGCTATGAAAAGAGCTTTGGATTAAGAGTGAAGAAGCCTGACACGTTGTGCTAGTTCTGTCTCACCCTATTTGTAAGATCCAGGCCAAATTATTCATTACTTTATTCCCATAGCACCTTCAAGTTCTTTTAGCTGTTAAAAAAATGTAGAAATTGAGATAACGTAAGCTTTATAAAATAAGAGAATCCTTCCAAAATAATAAACATTAAAGTTTAACAAACACTATACTAGTACTTCTTGCCTGAATTAAAATTTTGGCTTCCTAGACTGACCCTGCAGAATTTCCTACTGTTGAACACTGTCAAGAGTTCCATTTGTAAAGCCAAATGTGATCATTTAAAATGAGTTATGATTTCCTACTCAAACTCCCACGAAGGCTCTGGGCTGATAAAGAATCATTTGAAAGGGACTATTTCTCTTCCCAAGGGACTTAGAACTTAACAAAGATGAATAAGGTAGGTAAATATTTACTGATGTTTTGGAAACCAGAAAGCAAATGGAGCTTAGAGAGTGGACAGACAGCGTGAGCATGATAGTAACCTGACTCTTAAGGTTTTTGAGATGCTTGACCTATTGGATTTTCTGTTTGTTTGCTTGGCTTTATTTGAGGAATTCTAATTTTCTACTCAGGGATCTGTTGCCTATTTGTGATTATAAAATTTCTTTAGTAAATGACAACAAACCTTGACTACTCTATAAAAAGTTTATAATACAAGGAAAAAGTGTAGAAAAACACAAATACATAGAAACACACCTGACCCAAGCACAAACTCATAAATGACTAAAGTTCTAGAGTGCATTGTAAAAATGCTTGATGATCAGAAGAGGAAATAATTAGCAAGTTGAGAACAGAAGCTGAAGAAATTGTCTACTGCAATGACTGAAGCGACTGAGCAAAGAGGGACAAGTGTGACCAGGCTTTATGAAGAAGTTGGGTATTAATTTGGGATATTTTTATTTTATTCTTACATCCTCACAGGAAAGTCCAGGAAATTTGTTATTAATTTGTAAATTATTATAGTTAGTCTTGTACTTATTTTAATAAGATACTCATTGTAATAAGCAGGGGTGTTTTTCTCTTTATAAGATTTAGTAAGCTAAAAGTCTTCCCCTCGTTAACTTTTCAAGCTATCAAAAATTCCAAGCTCCAGACCTCTATAACCAGCTCTCTACTGGACATCTCCACTTATACATCTTAAAGGTACCTCGAACTCAATGTAACCAATACTTAAAATCATAACCTTTGGCTCATACCTGATCCTCTCCTGGTGTCACCTCTCCGAGTGAATGGCATATGCATATGATTGTCATCCTTGACATCTTATCCTTTGACATCTCCATTATCAGATCCATTGATATTACCTTTAAAATATCCTTTAAATCTATGTACATCCCCCCATTGTCACCACCCCTAACCCAAACGACAGTCTCCTAGAGCAGCCTTCTGATCTGGTTTTCCCATACAACCCCTGCACCTTACAATTGACTCTCCCATGTAGCAGTCTGTGTGAGTTGACTAAAATACAAACCTCATCATGTTATCTCTCCCCTTAACACATTTCTCTTAAGATAAAGAAGAGACTCCTTAACATGTCCTACAAGGCTCTGACTGACCTAACCCCAGATCACCTCAGCCCCAGCCACCTTGCCTTCTAATTTCTTCTGCACAGTCTTTATCCAAACTTACTGGCTTCTTTCCGATTCTGAATATTCCATGATCCTTATACCACAGACCCATTCCACATACTGTTCCTTCTGCCTGGAACAGCCCTCGCATGCCCTTTTATCTAAAAACTTTTATTTTTACTTCAAGTTATCCAAATATCTCTTCCTCAGGAAATCCTACTCTGATTGACAAATTAGATCAGATCCCTACATCTTTCATGGCACTTATCACTATTTTTAGTTTGTGTACTTACATGTTCATTGTCTACCTCCCACACAATAGGGTTCAGGAGGGCGGACAATGTCTGTTTTTGCTCGCCCTTTGCTTGAGCACTCAGCCCAGGGATTAGCAAGTATTGTGTTCTCAAGTGCATTGTGGAATGAATGAATAAATGAATGGAGGGATGAAAGATCAGTGTCTTCAGATGTCAAATGCCTAATGTCATTAAACTAATCTGTTACAGAGTTTTATCAGTTCCTAGGAAGAAAGAGATCCTGAGAGGATGACATTTGGCACAATGGTATAGAGAAGAATAGAAAGTGAATAACACAGAGAATATGTACACCTACTTTTGCTATTCAGAATGTATTTCTCTTTCTGAAGAGTAGCCTCTCAGTTGGAGAATTTATTTTCCTCCACTGAGTGTGTTTTTGTGGAATGTACATCTGGGAGGCTGATTGTCCATCTCTGATTGATTCTGGGAATGTTGTCTATCTTTCCAATAAATTTCTCCCTGTTTAATTTAACGAGAATCTGCTTCTTTTTCTTGCAATGAAGAACTCTGATGCTGACAGGAAGGTCAATGCACCAGGATGCTCTGGAAGTCTGGGAAAGAACGTGAGGTCATCCAAACAACATCTGTTGTTGGGGATATGAAGATGAACTAAACATGATTCCTATTCTTGAGAGACAGTTTTTAAAGGGAGACAAGAACCTGCAGATATCTGCCACCCTAGGGATAAGAGAGAAGTAGGGGAAAAGAAGGATAACATTGAAGGAACTATGAACATTGCCTAAGGGTCATTAAAGGTGTTGTTCCAGAAGTAGTAATGTTTTGAAAAGCAGAAAGATATAAGCTCACTGGACAATAAAGTGACAATATATATTATTTACTTCAACTTTTCAATTGTGTCTAGAGCGACTCTCTCTTTTAGAAATTACACATTTTTTTATAGCAGTTGTTTATTGCATAAATATGGAGAATGTGGGTCAGCAGGAAATCAGTCCTATGTTCCAGCAGGCCATAATTGTGAGTGGAGATAATATTTTAAATGCAATGTCTTTGTTTGTAAATCATATATCTGATAAGGGACTTTTATCCAAACTATATAGAGAACTCTTACCATCCAATAATAAAAAGTCAAATAATCCAATTTAAAAACCAGTAAAAGATTTGAATAGACATTTCTCCAGAGAATGACCAATAAGTTCATGAAAAGATGCTCAAAATCATTAGTTATTAGGGTGATGCAAATCAAAATGACGATAAGATACCACTTCACACACAGCTGGATGACTCTAATCAAAATGGTAGACAATAACAAGTATTGGCAAGGATGTGGAGACATCAGTACTCTCATACACTGCTGGTGGAAATGTAAAACGTTGTAGTCACTTTGGAAAACAGTTTGGCACTTCCTCAAAATGTTAAACATAGAGTTACCATATTACCAGCAATTTCACTAAGAGGTATCTACCCAGGAGAAATAAAAACATATGTTCACAAAAAGACTCGTACATGAATAGTCACAGCAGTTTTATTCATTAAAGCCCCAAAGTGGAAATAAGCCAAATGCTGATCAACTCATAATGGATATACAAAATGTGGCATATCAATACAATGGAATACTCTGTGGCAATAAAAAGGAATGAAGTACTACATGCTACAACATGGATGAATCTTGAAAATATGTTAAGTGAAAGAAGCTGGTCACAAAAGACCACAACTTGTGTGATTCCATTTATATGAAATGTCCAGAACAGGAAAATCCATAGGGACCAAAATTAGATTAGTGGTTCCAGAGGCTGGAGGGAGGAGCAAAATGGAGAGTGACTACAAATGGGTATGAGGTTTCTTATGGGGGTGCTTAAAACATTCTAAAATTAGATTGTAATAATTGTTGCACGTCTCTGGGATGGTATTAAAAATCACTGATATACACACTTTAAAGGGGTGAATTTTCTGGTGTATGAATTATATCTCAAAAAACTGTTATAAAATAAATACAACGTACTAATAAAAGTAAACCTAATAATATGCACAAAATGCAGAGGGTGGCATGGACTGGGGAAAGGAGCGGAACGGAAAAGACTTCATGGGAGAGATGATGTCAAATCTGTGAATAACTTGTCTCTCACCCAACCTTACCTGTCTACACATTGGGAGTCAGTTCCATCAGGCTTTGGCTGTCCAGATACATAAATATTAAACAATAACAACTGTATTTAGTTTTGAATGGAAAACATGTTCAGGAACTCTCAAGCATATAAATCTCGAGAGATTATGCTTCAGGCAAATCCAGCCTCCACAGCCAGCTCGCTAATAGAGGCCATGACTGCAGTGCAGCTACACATGAGTTTATCCAATGATGTATTTTTTTTCTCCTCAAAGACTCGTAAGAACAAGAGTTGCCAGGAGACAAGAACCCCTCAAACATTTTATTCCCACAGGATGTTGAATGAGTAGATGTTAGAACCCACTTCACTTATCTGGTTGTTCACTGAGTAACCAAAACAACTCGGGTCTCCAAATGTTTGCTCACATACTAAAAACCTAAACAGTTCTAAGCAGCACACTAAAGATAGGAAGTGCCTCCTGGAAACCGTTGTAAATACTCAGCACTTTGGTACCATATTCAAACTTCCTCAGTAAGAAAAAGTGGTTTCTTATCAATGCATATACTCAGAAATTATAGCAAGAAATTTTCAAATTCCTTATCTTCTCTCTATAGACTATATCTGTGTAAAACAAAATGAAAAAAACGTTTTAGACCGTATGTCCCAGAGTTCACATATACCATTAACTCAGGGCACAGTTTTTATGGCACTAC